TCTCTCTCTCTCCATCACAGGGCAAAACAAAAGTGAAAAAGTATACCTACAATCCAATTTGGAACCAAGCAATCGTCTTCGCCGACTTCTTCCCTCCCCTTACTCACAGCATTCGGTTGACTGTGAAGGACTGGGACACGTTAAAGGATGAGGAGATCGCGACGCATATCATCGATTTAAAGCAAATCTTTAGCACTAGTACTCCAAGTAAAGAAGACTTCATTCTTAAATTTTACGTTTTTTTGCCCACTCTGTTCTCGGCGAGGCGTCGTAGCTCAGGTGGTTGGAGCTTTGGCTGCATTGCGTCCCTCCTTTTGCAGTCGTGGGTTCAGATGCCACTGAGGCCAGTGAATTTATCATAATTAGGTTGAATGGTTTATTCAAATCTGCTAAACTGCACCTAGTAGTCAGCTGCCGGGGGGAAGGGATTCAAGGGATTCTGCTCGGACCCTCAGCTTCTTGTATCAGAATTGGTGGATTCCGTACGCTACAGTAGGTTACACAGGTAACATGACCCAAATGTACTTAAACTCACATCTCCGGGTGGGATCTTGTATTTCAGATGGTAAGCGTGAAGTGTTCTCAACTCTTCCCTTGGCCATCGTGGGTTAGAATCCCACCTTGGTTGCCGAGTTTCTCACAGTAAACTCAAATGAAGAATATTTGTAAAAATATGGCTAAATACTATATTTTATCAGCTTTGTACTGAGTTGGACGTTGCGGGGTCTTACATCATTCCTTCGCTCCTTGCTATTTTACTCGACCAGGGAGAGAGCAGCACAATCTTACAAATAATCATTTTGGTGGGGTTTATCATTTGTTGACAGAGGGGAGGTTATTCGACCGGAGAATGAGGGTGGCACGCAGAGCACAAATGTCAGTCTCTTAAACGCACACTTCACTTCAGCCTGTTTTGTTAAAATTTTGTTTTATGAGACCTTTGACGCACACTTTTGTCCTTGCCAGATCAACTACCCAGTTTTGGACCCTCGTGGGTGAATCTCTATGGCACACCACGGACTTACACTTACGAACAGATGAAACGGCCACATGATGAACTCAATCGCAATCTCGGTGAGGGAGTCGCTTTCCGAGGTCGTCTTCTAATGACAATTCAGGCAAAACCAAGCATGGAGACCATGAAGACAGGAGCCTTTTCGAAAGCAACGCCTGCGGTGTCTGAGGTGCGTGGTAGTCATCTAGACTTAATGAGCTTGAAAGCCGACCAGTTGCTCTGCCATTTCGACTTCGTAACTGCTGAGGGTTTTTGTAAGCATAAATAATGCTAACCATTTGACGAATAGTTTCGACTGAGTCTTTAAAATATAAATGTTATCTCTTTACGTAAAACTAAGTCCTAGATTGCCTTTGTTCAGAAATTATTTCAGCTGGTTAATACAACTTTGTAGTTTGTCGTTTCTTCTTACACATTTCTCGTAAAATGAGGTCAGCAGAAAAGTAATTTCCACCTACTGTATAGCCTTAGTACTTGATTTTTTCCATCGTTGATCATGAACACTATTTTTGCAGCTTGTGGCAGGGAAGAAAAGCCCGTACTTCCTATTCGTCTCTTTCTACGGCATCTCTGCCATCGATCCGGAGTTAGGACGTGATAAAACTCCCATTCAGTTCGAAGTCAGCATAGGTAAGTCGTGGGTCCATTATGCTTCTCGTGTTACTTGACCTTTACTGAAGTAATTTGTCACGTCTGCGCACCTCGCATCTTGCCTTACAACTTTTCACTTGCGTCAAGAAACCTAACGAAGTACACGCCCCGAGATAGAAAAAACCAAAAGTGCACATCCCAACAACTTATAATACCGTAAATATCACGCACTGACCACTTTCTTTCGTACTCAAGCATCCCATTAGCTTTACACGGATTGCAGTGTTAGAGTCAGGAACGTACTCAATGTTTATAACATTTCTAGGGCATCTTGCATTTCTGCTTATCGGAGTGTCTTGCGGCTGATACAACTGATTACTAAATGACCCAGTAATGACACATGAAAAACACTTGTGTCATCTGTTTTCTGATCTCTTCCGAAGGTAATAATAAGCCTGGCAGGATTTGCTTTTGTTCCTAATTCACTTACTTGCTAATACCTTTGTCAACAAATAATTCGATTATCCGACCCTCGCCGTAAATTAAATTTTATTATTTGCAGTCACAGGGAATTAGTTTAATACCGATTTTAGGCTGATTTTTGTTGGGCAGCAAACTGCTCCCTGGATGCATTCGTCTTCGTAAAGTCCAACCAGAACGGTCAATCTACACAACACTTTTCATCAAAAACCAGGTTAAATTATGGCTTGTCGAATGCACGCTCGGATTCGAAGATGAATTACTTTAACCCTCCCTTGGTAAACCAATTTATAGTTGTTGTATCGCACAGTAGGGTGGGTTTATTCAATGGTGGATGTCATTCACCATGGTTTAGTTGCGTTCAGGCCTGTGCGCTGTTTCCAACAGACAACGCGTTTACCAGATCAGCGCAAAAACACGCCTGGTCTTCGGCATATTCGACAGCCTGCTTATTTTAAGGATTAAGTGCCTGGTTCATGAGTCAGTGTCCTGATATCCTGGGCTCACAGCCCGAATCCTTCTAGTCTGGAGTTAGAATGTGGTAGGCAGATTATGGTAAAAAGTTTGAAGCAATCACTTTAGTCTCTCTTGTCCCTAACGACAAAACAATTTGAGCAAGTTGCCAGTTATTCCCCAATGATTAACTGTGTACAGAACTGACGTATGACAACCTTAGACATACAGATGCCTTCATTTCCCAGGTAAAGTGGACTTCCTGCGTTTTACTTCCTCGCCAGTAGCACCTGTTGCATTCAGCCGTATTCTTCCTACATTTCAACTACCGTATTTAGCAATAAATTAATTGTTAATCAGTTCATGCTGACTGCCTTTAATGCTTTAGCGAACGCCTTCCGAGGAAAAAATGTGGCCATGCTAAAATGAAAAAAAATGTTTAAGGTAAAGTTACCACGGATGCCACTGACCGTTCAGCTGTAGATAGGTCAGAGAAAATTTATTTGAAAGTACAGAGCTTTTAGTAAATGACTTTTTTCCATAATTTTCCTAACCTGTCTGTTTGCTTCAGGCACCTACGGAAACAAAATCGACGGAAAGAAGGGTGGCATATATGTTCCACAAATTCAGTCAACACGTAAGTCCGACTTTACTGCAGCCCATATCTGAACCTGCCAACCTCACAGTATCATTTTAGCAACGATCGCATATGTTGCTCCATTTCGAAAACGGTAGGTAAGAACTCCTCGTAAGGTAAATTAAACTGGCATATAGTTGTTTTCAAAAAGCTAAAAATAAAAGAACTTCCATTTACACCATTAGTTTGCTTAGATGTGCAAATGGAGCGTAAAAAGTAAGCACACAATTTGAAGTTCCAAAGCTATAAATTGGTGAAGAAAATGGAAATCGAGGGCATTAATTAGATATTCCATGCGAACTGACACTAGCCTGTAATGACCAATCACATGAAGTGAAAAAAAGTTTAATATATTATGAATGTTGGCACTTGAAAAGGTGCCACTTAAGATGACAGTTTTAATGATATAAAGAAAATACGAATTACAGAAAGTAATTGAGAAGAAGTAGACGCGAGTGCTGAGACAAGAACTTTATGCGTATGACGTTTTGGACTCCCTCTCGGACCTCTGATCAGTGAGAGTAACAGAAACTGGTTTTTCATGCAAAAATAATCATTATGCTACTGCATAACTGTGACAATTAATGGCTGCCTCTTATCGAGGATAAATTGTCACTTGGGCGCTAATTGCTCGATGGCTGGCGTGCGCGCTGTGATTTACTGAAATTTACTCACTCCTACTGAATTTTGGCGTGATGATTGCTCGGCCATTTGGTTCACCGGCACTAGCCTTGAAAGATTCGTTTTCCCCGAGGGGCAAATTCCTATGGCTCAGCACCGAATATGAGTTGAGGTCAGTACACTTGTTTATAAAATGGAGGCCCGTGAACTATGACTCAAGGAAATCGAGGCTCACAGAATTGCCCTCTGCCTCGATCCCTCTTCTGTCCAATGAACTTTTAAAAAACTGATTGACCTGCTCCAACATTGATGCAAACCGAAAGGTTTTCCCCTCTTCCTCATCATTATGATCAGCATCATCCCACAGAGGAGCAAACCTTGTCCATAGGTGCACAAGATCCGTCCTTCCTAAAAAAGGTCATTATATTTGCTCAGTCATCTTATCCTTCGGCTGTTTCCCCTTTTTACAGGCAAGGATGATCCGCGAGAGAAATTAGACTGGAACGAGAGCCTCAGTCCGCCCCTGGAGCTCACTACGGACTCTGGGGCCTACTACCACGTGGAGTTCCAGGGTGCCCAGCCTTGTCTCTACTTACTGTGCGAGTTCGAAGATCATCGTCTAAGAATGTGTATTCCAAACATTTTGGAAAAATTGCGGGATGAATACGTGAGTTGATAATTGGTGTGTGCATTGATGGTCGCTAACAAGAGAGTACGTTTTCCTTATTTGGATAAAATCAATAGGTTCCACGACTGAGGCTTTGCCGTTCACACTGTCGAATCCTTCATGTGAATTGAGTAATAGTTGGATTTAAGTTGGATAGGAAGCTTGTTCGTACTCTTGCCGACAGGTCTCTATCAATTATCAACTGATTGCCACCAGCGACAGATATGGGAGGAAATCTAATGCAAAAGAGAATGAGAGTGTCTTGTTGCAGGATCGGGGCAGAGCGACTAGCATCAGTTCTAACCTCAGTTACAACATGAGTAAAAGGTAGAACTATCCGACTCGCATTGTGAATCAACGATAGATTGGGAATGCTTAAAGAAGCTTATAGTAGGTTACACTTATATATTAGCTGCCATACTCCATCCTCCCTCTTTCCTCATCCATTATGTTCTGTGGTGAGCGGTGAGAGCCGTGGCTGGTGAAGCTAAATACCCCATCTATGCCGGATACATATGACCTCTTCCCCACTTCAGATATTTCAGCATATTTAAGGGTAATAGGCTTTTACTTGAAAACCCTTTTAAAAACCGTACAATATTTAGCTTGAAATAAATAGGCTTGTACAAAGTAAGGAGTAACGTATTTATTTTGAAAGCAATATTTGTGTAAAAGTTGGGATTAGAGCACGGGCTCCTTGAAGGATCATGTAGGACGCACAATGAATAGAAACCATCGTTATCTGCTGTCATAACAGATTAGGAGTGCCACTTTCACATGAATTTGGTGTCTCGTTCTTTTCATTTGAACGTTTTACCTGGGGCTGAATTTCCCAAGTTCAAAATCCGGATGTCCCGTCGCATCCTGGGCTGCAGAGAGGTAGGATTTGAACTCACCGCAGTCGATCAAAATCTATTCGAACCACAAGGCCCTAGGTGGTTTTGCATTCTGCCTTCTGAGACTTGACATGTTTATATAAAAAATAAAGTCTGTAGGTGTAATTGGAGTGGAGACAAGTACTTTCGCTTCTACATCCTAACCCATGCTCCGCCCTTATCGGCGCTTACAAACCAGAAGGTTTACCTGCTTGGATCTTTTCTCCGCCTCGTACTGCCTCAAGAGGATTGTTGCTTAGACACTAAGGGGAACACGTCCAATTCAGT